AATGTAAAATGTAAATCATTACAAACATCTTCAAATTCTTTTATGTTTTTATCAAAAGCTTCTTTAACAGTCATTGCACTTATATATTTTTGTAAACTTGATAATTGAGTAATTTCTTTAGCAAATTTTCTGATATTTTCTAAAACAGTTATAAATCTAACCCAAGCATAATAATAATTTTGATCTTGAAAAAGTTTTTCATTTGCTAATTGTTGTCGTTTTAAGGAATTTACTGCTTGTTGAGCAATTTCTACACGATCAATTAATGCTAAACAAATTTTTTGATTACATTTTGCTGTTTCATTTGTTTGTAATAATGATTTAACAATATCAGTTACTTGTGAAAAAAATGGTAAAAATGGTTGAATTGCATCTCCTGCTGTTTGAATTGTAGTCATAGTATGACGTGGTATTTCTTGTTTAATATTAAATTTCCCATCATATTCACCAGCCAAATGTATTTTTGGACCTTCGTTTTTATCTTCACTAGTTTTTTTAGGTATTTTTTGCTTAGTTGGATCTTCATTATTAGTCTCTTTGGATTTGTGAGACATAATTAATAAAATTCGTACAAGCAATTATGGAGGAAATTGACTCACCGTATTTATACGTACGTACGTATATGCTTACGTATGCATCATATCGGTATTACCAACACCGATACTGTACAGTACACAAATTTAATAACAAAGTAAATGATCACCTAAACCATCACTCGGAATCCTCAAATATACTTTATGTTAGATGGAATGAAAGCTTAGATTAATCTAAGTGGTTAAAGAAATTTGAAACAAAATAATGTTGATCTCGAATCTGTTTAGTAGAGTATAAAAGATTAAGATATAATTAAATTTTACTTTTTACACCAGGCATATTGAACACTAGCGAAAAATACAACTTTAATTGCTTTGTTTCAGAAAATATCACAAAGATATTTAATTCATACCAACAAAGTGTTTAATGACAATTTCATAAACTACATTTGATTCTTATAAACCAGCTATATTTAGATTTTCGTGATTATTTAGGTGGAACCATTATTTAGGAAGTAACTGCTTTTTTTAAAGCGCTTTACTTTTTACTTATACATGCATTCATTTTCTAATACATATGACATATATAAAGGAAATTTAATTTTTAATATATGTTTAAATTATTTTTCAATAAGATATTTACTACATATTTTGCTGTATTTTTCTTTTATTGCATTAATTTAGATGTATATAAAAAAGTTTGAGTATTTTAAAATAAATTATCTTACGATTTAATTTTCTTATATTATTAATTTTAGACGAGTATAGGAATATTTATATCTAAATATTTAAAATTAGCATTCATGATTATTTATTTAATTTCATTAATTTAGATGATTATAAAGAAATTTATTAACTTCAGTATTTATTTATTTCTTACACTAAGTGAATGGTTATTTATCAATGCAGCTATTCTAATTTATGAAATATACAATTACAAACACCACATTATTAATAAGAAATGTTAACTACTAAGGAGCCTTGTCAAATCATTTTACTTCATTAATTCAGTGAATATAAAGTTCGAATTAATTTTTTATAAAGTCTTTTATTAATATAAATACTTCGTCAATTTAGTTTGTCTTTATTCGAAAATATTAAAATATTGATTGTTATAAGGATTATTATCCAGTAATGCATTTTTTTTAAAAAAATTATCACATTTTTTTTTCAACTTCGAAGAAGTTATCTTGGCAACCAATAAACTGAACTCAATAAATTTTTTTTCATTTTAATTCTACAGAATATGTAGAATAAAAAAGCTCATAGAATTTGATCGTGCAGTTTCAAAAATCCAAAACGCCTATCAAAATAATGCTTCACAACTTTGAGCGATGATATCTCAGCAACCGATCAACAAACTCAATTTACTTTGACTCCAGAAATGTAGAATTAAAATTAAAATTATAAAAATTTCATCGAATTTGATTGAATAATTAAATACCAAAATATTTCACTCAAAGTTTTGAAAAAATTTGCCGCAGCTAATATTTTGATAGGCGTTTTATTTTTTTAACTAAGATTTCTCGGTAACAAAATTTATTGCAAATAATATTATTATATTCTGTGAATGCTTGTATATTACTTTTTTTAAAAGCTATATAAGTAACAAAAAATTTAAAATATTTATAGATTTGAATTTTTTTTATCTATTATATACTGTACTACTGTTTTTTTGTTTTTTTATTAAATATAAATAAAAAAATTTGATTTAAAAAAACTAGAATAATTGCGAACAAGTTGAACATAATAATAGTAAAAATAGTAGAAGTTTCAGGCATTAATCTTGATAATAGTCATAAGATTAGAAACTATTCTTGGTAATATATATTAATTCAAAAATTAAAAAATATAGAAGTTCTAGAAGATTAATATATAGAGCTTTTGGTTATTATAATTGAAAAGAAATTTAAGTATATAATAGTACAAATTATAAACAAAAACTAGAAAATATATCAATCTTAATTCTTTTAAATTTTAATAAAATTCTATATTTAGAATTTAATTATTTTTTTGAAAATACCAATAATTATTTGGATTTTAAAGATTATTATAACTATAACAAAAGTATATATAATTTTTATTATTAATTTATTTATATAGCTATTTTTTATTATTATTATTTTTTTTGGTATTACTATTTTTACAATTGTAAGAAAAAAAACTACTAGAAGCATCTTTAGAACTACAATATAAAGTACTATATAAAGCATTATCTAAAGCAGTGTTATTACTGAAAGACTAGAATCCCATTAGATATTCAGATTCTTCCAGTGTTTTAGTGGTTCTAATGAGAAATCCCACCAAAACAATTTTCTCACTAAAATGTATTTGCCTGATTGGCTAATCTAAATATGATTATTGGCCAATCAAATTAGTTAGTTAATAACTAATTGTTTTTAAACTTCCAAAGCTATTCAATACAATAAATTTAGTTTACTTTCCAACTTAACATTATTAGCCTATATTATACATAGTCAAGTTTCTTTATTAGTTGAGATTACAAAATTTAAGTTATTATAGCTTAAATAGTCAATTTATTATATCTATAGGCTAAACTTAAATATTCAAACATATCTCTTATCAAACTTCTGAATTGCTTTGTGAATCGCAAATTATTTTGACAGTTTATAGACCAAAAGGTATTCTTTCAAATTTTTTTAGCATCAAGTTTGGCTAATTCATCTCTGTGTTTGCCAAACTATCTTTGTAACTACAAAATATTATGCTACTATGTAAAACATATTGTATAATATTTAGTATTGATTATTCAATTAAATAAAAATTACTATATTTTATTTTTGTACTTATAAAAATATTACATAATTTTTATATAAACTGGTTTTGTTAAAAGGCCTAATTTTTTAAAATTGCAAATTACAAATATATTATTTATTTTAATAAAATGGATTATATATAAACTTTTTTAAAAAATATTTTTTTTTTAAAGAAAAATACTGTAGCAGTGAAAATAGTAATAAACTTCTTTTTTATTCATTATACTTTTATTAAAATCTCTAATTTTTTTATAAGTTAAAAGTATTATTTAATTAGAAATATTATTTAAATATGATCTTAGTTGTATAGAAGATACTAGTAATAAAAGCTAAAAAATATATGATAGTTTTTAAATATTAATTGGCTTGGAAATTTTTATATTTGAAAAATTTGTGTGCTTGATTTTTTGAAAGATAGTTTAAATAATATATACAATTTTAATATGTACAATTGTTTTAGTGATAGTTTTAATAATAGTTTAAGTAGTATTTTAGATTCATATTGTTTATTGAAATGTTCTAGTAGAAATTACTAAAACTGAAAAATCACTGGACTTAACTGGATGGAATTGAAAGCATTATAGATTCTAGTAATCAAATGTTGCTAGACTATTCCAGTGAAGATTTTTATTACTAAAATAGAAGTTTTAGTAATGTTTTGTAATTTCTAGTGGCTTCTAATTTGCTAATTCAAATTAATTACCAAGAATAGTGAGCAAAAATTAAATGGTATAAAATTTAAACTCCATTTATACAAATATTACCAGATTACAAATAGGATTATTTCTGATAACCAGAGTAATTTTGGTAATCTGATATAGATTATGCAATAATGTTAAAGACTTTGTTGACAAATTTTACAATATTTTTAGTATATTAAAAAATATTAATTATATTATT